TTCTTTCCCACGAAGTAGAAGAGAACGAGTAGCTGTGGTGATGACCACTATCTATATACTACTCAGGCTCCCTGACTGAAGATTACTGACGGGAGGCACTTGACAAATATGTAGGCCTGTGTCAATGACCCATTGGCCAGTATTGTCCAACCATGAACCTTGGGCAGGCGGTCAGTCCAGAATGAGCTACCAGCCTTTATATAGTTATGTGGCCTGCCTCCCTGGGAATAGCAGCGTCCGCTGCTTATGGCCGCACGGGATGTCCTAATAACTCAGGTTTCTTCATGATCAGCCTAATCATGAGCATTAACCCTTACGGCCTTAACTACTTACGACGACATACAGGACTACCATAGACTTATTGCGAACTTTTTTCCTGGGATTAGAGAAGACTGATAATTAATTCTTTTACACTAGCTAGCTCTTGCATTCTTAAGTTCTTAAGATTCCTACCTCTTTAGGGCTAGAGGAATCCTCCTGAAACATATGGAAGAGATCTCTAGACAGTGCATCCAAACTACTATTATGCCCCATCCGTTCCTCACTGGTTGAATACTGGACTCCACATACACTCGCGAAGATTAATCAAAGCATATTAATTGCCACAGTATGGATCCAGTAGATAGCTGCATGATATTTACTGTGTAGTACACACCAAAACCAGTTAGCTTGGTTAAGTCCGTGTCCTATATTACTGCACCGGGGAAGGTGTGTCTTTATGCTTAAGCATATAAAGGTAGTAAAAATAGGAAGAGCAAACTCACTCACAAATTAGATAAAGCAGATAACATCCAGGATCTATAATGCCTTGGCGTAAAGGCCACCATGGTTGTACTCATTCATGTAGTTCTGTAGATACCAGAACATATTACACGACGCCTTGTTCCCAGAATACCTCAGTCATAGCCATTCAGCAAGGTCTAGCTGCAGATAAATAGGTCCTTCACTTCTGCAGATTCCAGTTGTCGCCCGCGGCGATAGCCATAGTATAGGCTAAGGCGCCAGCAGCAATCAAGGAGCCGGCAGTAAGGATGGATAGCTTCATTTGAGGAGTGTATTGTATTTAAGAGATAGAAAGGTAAAACACTGGTTCTTAAGGAGACTGGAGGATTCTGAAGTGGAAGGAAGTCTTCTGCAAGCAGCTTTGTTACTTTTCTCTTCTAGACCTCAGGTGTCTCTAAGACCAGCAAGCTTATACAAACCCTGGAAGCACGTGCAATAGTCAAGGTTAAGGAAAGTCAAAGATGCCAATACAGAATGCAGAAAAGAGGACATCAATGATATCTCATTGATATCAATGCAACTGTTGCATTGACTTACTTTAGTATTCACCTACTACTCAAGGTAGGAGACGCTCTCTTACTCAACTTCTCGACTCTCATCTCAGTGCCGTTTCCAGGGGATGCTTTTAGCAGGGTGGTCATTGTGCTCTAAATTCTACACCTAGTAATAACTGACAGACGGACTTGCGCTGCAAATGCCTACTCACAGCCTCTGAATATACTCTAGATAGGCAAGACCCGGAGGGTAGCATGAAGCTTGTTTAGCTTAAATGTTCATCTTCTAGATCTCTTCCACTCTTTATAGTATTGAGGGAAAGCATAGATTTTTCTATTTATTGCCAATAAAATATCAATATCCTGGCCTCTTTCTACTAATTATGCACATATACCCAGTTCAATAGACTCCAGATGCACATCCTTCCGCATCAGCTCTTGTGATGGTCTAAGCCCAGGCTATAATTACTTAGCCAGTCTCTCTTACCCCAGATAGCAGCGACAGATTAGTAAATATGTGAACTGTGGGCCAAAAAGAGACCTGCATTTTAGCTCAATTTTGGTGGCTTCAATGACTGCGGTTCGGGGGTAGATGATGTTCTTTAGATTGTTGATGGGTTTCCCTACTTCCCATGTGATGACCGGTGAGCGTATACTGTACTGAATTCCCTGGCCAATCTTGTGTAGATCCATCTATTTTTATATAATTTTACTATTGTGTGGATGGCGTGGTTGAAGAAATTCGTATGCGCCAGAGAATGTTTTATTTGATGTCGGCGGCCGTACAGAGACATTTGACGTAGAACTGTACATGTTCCACTATCCCCTGAACAGTCGATCACCAATGACCTTGCTGGACGGGTTCCCTTTCGATGCCTGGCGCGGCTTGCACTATGCTCACAAATTTTATAAAAATTGATACTAAGGGGAAGAAAGATGAAGCGAGAGTCTAAGTCGTTCTCTCGTTTTACCTACTTGCTGTAAACATGAGAGTATTCAAAACACTCAAACTTTGCATGCAAATTGGAACATATTCTTTAACATGTTAGTTAATTAAGCCTCTCTATTACTACCAAGTGCATCAATGTTGATGCCCCTGGGGGAATATAAGCACCATTAGCCCTAAGTTACAATGCTACTAGAAGAAATACACCATCAAAGGTGCTATTACCAGTTTGATGATAAGAAATTTGGGAGGTTGAAATCATGCGATGGTATGGCTGTTTTTCTTTCCCCTGCAGATTGTGCTCTGAATGAKACCTTAGGGCAGAATGAAAAGTTGTAGAATCAGGCGAAAGAGTTAACTAAGAGCTCCTGCAGGAGGGACGTTATCGCCTTCATATGCCTAGAGCCTGATCGACTCTCAGTAAACTACGTACTAGTGTAACAATAATTTTACAATTATTATTTGTAAAAACTGCAATATTACTGTTGAATTCGGATTTCGAATACCAGAAATAGATAGTCCTTTTACAGAATAGATGTCTCTCAAAATTACATTGTTTTGCTACCATTGACCACTTTTACCATCAGCCACACGAACTAAGGACATACAAAAATTGATATTTTATTGTAATGCTGGCTCTTCAGACGCTACTCAAACCTCCTGGGCTTATCGATTAGTGTGCCCTCCATACCTTGATGTTACGCCCCATATCGTGGCACCTAATGATATACATACTATCTAAGAACTTCCGGTTCCGCCGTACCCAGGCCCTTCATCATCTCCTAACAAACCATCGGTCTCCCCAGCATGGACTGCCTCATCCATAGCATCCCTCCGAGAACGCCAACAAAGCGCGTACCAAAACAAAACCCACTGTCCCACTGCATAAACCGCATCATCGACAACCGGCCATCCAATTATATGATACCAATACATCCAATCCACAGGTCTTCTCATCGGCATCATAGGAACAGGTTGCTGTACCCTAAGTACCCATAGTCCGGAAACCAAAGCAAATACTACAGCCTGATACGCCAGGCCTCTCAAACTCAAGACCGATGACTGCCCCCGTCTGTGGCGAAAGATCAGTCGGGACTGATCTATAAATCCCACGATGCGGAGCATGGCCGATAAAGGCAGGATGGTCATAACATGAGCGGAAAGAAAGAGTCCGATGATCCAGTTCCTCTCACCCGTTGGCGGCCTTTGTTTTCTCGTTTCCTCGGGAGTGGTGATTGCGTCGATGATCTCGGGCAAGATAGATATGCATAGGTATGAAATGTATATGGTTATTAGGATGAGTTTGCGGCATAAATTGATGTGCAGGTTGTGGATTGCTTGACTGAAGAGGACTAAAAATCCCATCCAAACTGCCAAAAACTGGCACAAGTTCAACCAGTCTCCGGTCGTGGGGGGTTCATGGATGAGGACATTTCCGCCGCTGTTTACCAGCAATGCGAATAGGATGGTAAAGTGTTCTGTTGCGCCGATTAGGTTGAAGAGAAGGTAGGCAGTGGAGATGCCGTGCGTGGATTTTTGAAGTTGGATGCACTGGATCTGTGGGTAGAAGGAGGACGTGGTCAGGATGATGAGGACTCTGGCTGAATTAGACTGAATACTTTAATAGGTATACACAGGTATTTCGGGGAAGGGGCGCTGATGGAGAAGTCTAAGGAGACTAGTGCACGCACATCCTTATCCAGTTAGGAAGTGTTGGTAGAGTCATTCTTTGATACAAGGATCAATGCCAGAAGGACCAAACTTGACAGAGATGGAAGGCAGAGAGAGGGTAACATGTGCGGAGATATTATTAAATGAACTGTGGAAGATACATAGTACTATTAAAAGATTGCGGCCTATTGTGGAGAATCTAAATAAGTACACATGGACTTATCGTATGGATAACCAGAATGATAGCTTATGCAGGTCCTAGCGCCTATGTCTCAGCTGAGCCTTCAAGTCCCATTGCTTATCATGCCAATAAGCTGCTTCCCTACTACTCAGTGTAGAAGCCGAACCCCACATTACGCCCAATAAGCCCATTGCATGACTCAAATCACCGCATATATACCCCTATCACAGAATTAAGGCCCCCAATATCGCTATGAATGATGCCAGAGNCTCATGATTTGGTACCATTCTGGTTCATCCTGGTACCATATTCGGGCTAGTGATTGGTTGCTCCACACAGTACGCCCAATAAGCCCATTGCATGACTCTATCACCGCATATGTACCGCTGTCACAGAATTAAGGCCCCCAATATCGCTATGAAGGATGCCAGAGCCTCATGATTTGGTACCATTCGGGTTCATCCTGGTACCATATTCGGGCTCGTGATTGGTTGCTTGTAAGTACACTTGTTTCTGAACGGCACATAGGATGAGGCATTTTGCACATGATAGATGACTGGAGGGCTGTGGAAGTATTAAAGCGACTCACAGTATGGAAGGGAAGTGAAAGGTGCCAGCAAAAACAGCCCTGATAATGGCGCATCTACTCTTCTTTACGGTCTTAAATCTAATACTGTCTCTTCTATCATCTACTGTCACAGGAGCAGCTGTCCCTGTTACGCGATCCACAGCCAATTCGAGAAATATAGACTTTGATGCTGCTGAATGGCATCCGTCAATAGCAAAACGAGATGATGCCCCGAAAGTCCCTTTACGAATCCTCCCTCTCGGCGCATCAATCACCTGGGGATACCTATCTTCAACTGGAAATGGATATCGCAAGCCTCTACGTGACAAACTCCGCTTCGAAGGCTGGGAAGTCGACATGGTCGGCAGTAAATCCAATGGTGACATGATAGACAATGTATGCATCTCTCCCTCATCCACATCCTTTCCCCCTCCCCCAACAGCAGATAGACAGACCAATTAACATATACACATGGGGAAAAATAAATAGGACGTAGAAGCCCACAGCGGCGACGTGATATCGCAAGTCCAAACAGCCGCCACAAACTCCCTCGCCTACAAACCGAACGTCGTGCTCATAAACGCCGGCACCAATGACTGCGACTACAACGTCGACCCAGCGAACGCGGGCGAGCGCATGCGATCCTTAATCGAAACCCTAATCAATGCCCCCGATATGGCCAACACGTTAATCGTCCTGTCAACCCTGATTCCCTCCGGTTCCACATCCCTCGAAGCCAACAGGCCCTCTGTCAATGCACAATTCCGAGCACTGGTCGCTGACATGCAAGCGGGGCAGAATATCTCCATCGTTCTGGCAGATATGGATCCCCCGGCCCCGAGTCCCGGAAATAACTGGATCAAGTACCCCGATAACTACGCCGATGACAAGCACCCCAATGACTACGGGTACTCCCAGATGGCGGATATCTGGTATAATGCGATTTATGACGCCGCGGAAGCGAGGCTCATCGTCAAGCCTGCGGACCTCAGCATCTCGACCACGGGGACCTGCGACAAAGAGTACGGGAGCGGAGTCTACGCGGGCGGGTTCACGCAACAAGGAAGTGGTGAAGATGATGGGATCTATCGACACGACAGCGAGTATAGCGGGGCATTGTTTAGTGTTCGCGCCGGAAAGGGTGCACTTGATCCATACAGAGATGATGACGAGCTGTTCTTTTTCTTTGGGAGGCTTTATACGAGGGAGTATGATGACTTGATCATCTTCCAGAAAGATAATGAATCCGGGGCGGTAACGTTTGTTTCTTACACGAATAATGTTCACACTGAGGAGAAGGAGTTTACGAAGGGGGATTCATTCTCGACGCATAATAATTGTAACCCTGGAGGTGTGCATTTTATTGATGTGAATGGTGAGCACTGGGTCTGTCCGCTGAGGAAATAGCTGGGACTGATTTTAGGTGACAATTTATAGGTGACGGACTTGACGATTACATCTGCATTGCCTTGGATGGGACTACCTACGCAAGCATTAACAATGGAGACGGTGATGCTGGGAGTAACAAGCCTCCATCCTTCACGGATATCGGATTATGGAAGAGTCCAGAAGGACACGATCAGGCGCATGTACGACTTGCTGATATCGACGGCGATGGTCGAGCCGACTATTGTGTTTTGGCTGATAACGGCGACATCACATGCTGGCGAAACGGATGGATAGAAGACGTCCCAGCATACTGGCAGCCGCTGGGCAAGCGCTTCACCGGAAAAGGCATGGGTGACCTCCGCGGCGTGCGATTCGAAGATATAAACGGCGATGGGCGCGACGACTGGATGTGGGTTGATGATGATGGTGCTACAACAACATACACAAACTCCCGGAGCTGCATTAAAGGAGAGGCTGGTGACGGATTAAACGTTGTTTGGCGCCAGGGGTTCTACCAAGATGCTAATTCAGGCCCATCACATCCCGGGATGGGAGGGTTATTCGGTACATCCGGATTACGGGATCAGATTTACTTTGCTAGAATTTATGGTGAGGTGGCGGATTTTGGAGAGCTCGGGAGACAGGACTATGTGTTCATCGAGAAGGATACCTCTGACGAGAATCTTGGGCCGATGTATTACATTCATGTGTGGAAGAGCAAAGGGGCGGGAGGGGCTAAGATCAAAGGTATGTGTGTGTGTGTGTGAGAGTGTGTCAGAAGGAGGTTCTTATAGAAAAGGTTTAATTGCTAATTGTTGCAGCCGACGGAGACAGGTATTGCAATATGGTGGGCCACGACAACGGTATGATGGATTACGTTTGGATCCATTCAACCGGCCATATGCGCCTCTATCCGAATAGAGGCCTGGTTGAAGTACCCACTGACGGGTCGAGCTTCTGGGGAGGTAATGAGATTATCTTCGACCCAACCCAGGAGCAAATTGGCATCAAACTTGACCGGCGCGATCTGCATCTCGCAGACTGGGATGGCGACGGAGCCTGCGATATAATTTGGACAGACCCCAACAATCAGAACAAGGTTCAAGTTTGGCGGAACATGATCAAAGAAACTGGGCAGTTTGACTGGGAGTACAATATTAATGCTGCAGATCAGCTATACTGCCCCGAGCACCGAGGCCTTGGTTTCTTTGACCGTCCTGTCCATTTTGCTGATGTTTCTGGTAACGGCAAGGCCGATTACCTGTGCGTTGAGAAGGACGGCCGCACCTGGGGTTGGGTTAATGGGGACGATGGATGGGAGTATATTGATCAATTCAAGTACTCCGAGCAGAAGGACAGGGCGAATCTACACTGGGCAGACGTGAACGGCGACGGAAAGGCAGATATGATCTGGACAGACAAGTTCTCAGGAGACGGGTCGGTCTGGTATAACCTTGGCCGACGTGATATCAAGGGATCCCGATACGAATGGGGACCGCAAGGTCCCAAGTACCGAGGTGCAGTTGAAGGCTCATGCACTTATTTCCCTGACCTAAACGGTGACGGCCGTGCAGACATGCATAGCATTTGGAATTCCATCAACAACACAGCGCAGACATGGTACAACGAATGTGCCACCAAAGATCACACCGGCGATGACGGCCCGATAACTGACCCCAATCTACCTGTATCTCCTGAAAACGGCTTCATCGACGTCACCCCTCATTATCAAGATGACAGCGGCTGCACTAGGGCCGAGGTGCAGACGATCCTTGAAGAAATGCAATATGCGGCTTATATCGCGTCGGATGTTGGGTTATATGGCGGATACTATTCATATAGGGACCTCTTCTTCGCCAAATCACTCAACGACGACTCGGTCTGGATTCAGAATGTAAGGAACACGTTCGACCGGATGTTGTACATGGTTGCTGGGCACCACGATAGCGATGATGGAAAGTTCACGATAACTTGCAAAAATCTTCCGGGATGTCGGGACGGGAGAGGCTGGCTTGCCATGATGAACTCTAACAATCGACTTAATTTCTGCCCAAAGTTCTTCACAGGTGACATCCTTAAGAGTACCAAGTCAGTTCTGGCGAAGTGCGACTCAATTAACCTCCAGGATGCCCATCTCACTCGAGCCGCGGCGATTTTGCACGAAACAACGCATACAAATTGGGTTATGGAGATTGTCAATGGGGAGAATGGGTAGGTTTCATATATTCTTTCTCATCCCCAGACCGATACTGATTCTTTTACCTTAGGAAATGCCGCGATTATGTCTATAAATGGAAAGGAGCTCGAGATCTTGCCGCAGGGACCCTGAATCGACACTGTACCTACTCTGGCCGAAAGGCTGAAGAAAATGCCAATAAGCTCCGTATAGCCGGCGATGCTAACTGGCAACGCAGATTGCTTTGTCCAGACCCAAATAACCCGGGGCAAGAAGGCATTTGTGACAGCAAGTTGTCCGCCTACAATGCGGATTCATGGACTCTTGTCGTAGTTGGCGGGTACTATACACAAAAATGCGGCCGAGAGATTCCCCTTCCTGAGGACTCTTCTTCTTCTTCAGCGGATGGCTCCAGCTGTCCGGCCTACGATGATTCTTCTTATGATTCTGACCCTTTGTACGGGATCAATGATTACGCTCACTTCGGTGACTCCTACGCCGCTGGGATGGGTACAGGAACCACATCCGGCGACAGTTGCCGCGTGGGAAGTAACAGCTACGGCGAGCTCGTCCAGGAGTGGTTTGATAATGAGGACTTCAATTATACTAACTTTGCATGCTCCGGGGATACAACGGTTGAACTGAATAAGAAGATCGACCAGTGGCTAGGACAGAACCCCACGGGGACTACCATGGCAACCCTGACAATTGGTGGGAACGATGTGTTCTTCAGCGATCTGGTTTCCAACTGCGTGCTAACGATGTGGTGGTACTCACTTGAGCAATACCGCCAGTGGTGTCTGGAGACTGAAGAGAAAGCCCGCAACCTGATGCAGGATACAGGATCTGATGGACTCGGTGCGAAACTTAGGGCTGCATATGAAAAGATCTTGGATGGATCTGGCTCTACCGTATATATTCCCTCCCTTTCCACAATTACCTTATTTATTCCCTCTCGTGCTCTTCTTCATCGTACTGACTTTTACTTCAAACAGTCGTTCAACCTTTACGTCCCTGGCTACGTCACCTTCTTCAACGAAGACACCCCAGATTGCGACTCAACAACGTTCTGGTATGAAAGCCCACACTACGACCCCCAGCAATCCGGCAATTATGTGTGGCTCACGACCGACATACGTAAAGAACTCAACGACCTCGTCCGCATGCTCAACTCCCTAATCCAATCCACCATCTCGGACATCAACACCGCCCGAAACAGCCAACAGATCCATTACATCGACATGGACTCGCGCTTTGATGGCCACCGTTGGTGTGAACCCGGAACCCAAGAACCAGACCCCGATAACCCAAGCACTTACTTCTTCCTATCCGCATGGCCCGATATCGCGATTGACGGGGACACGGCGGCCGAGAGTACGAATGCTACCGAGACAGATGAAATAACAGCGCTTATGAACGCCGGATCTATCCAACTGCCCGATGCGGATACGTGCCAGGCTGCTTTGGGTTCTGGCCCAGACCCCTATGCAGCTTTCATGTGTGACGTTGCTATCCACGTCAAGGGGAACTCGTCGAGTTTGATTGCTCAGAGTTTGGATCGAGCGAATCAAGCGATTGCGAATCAGGACTATAGTAGCCAGGATATCTCTTGGTGGTTGCCTACTAGGCAGATTAAAACGTTTCATCCTAGGAGTCCTGGGATGATGTTTTATGCGGGGGCTGCGGTGGGTGGGATGTTGAGTGATTGGGGGTTTGATTAGTATGAGCATGTAGACATCGTTTAGCAGTTAAATGGACGGCGAGAGCTAGAGGATATATGTTAGTGAAGTACATTTTGGTGAGAGGATGGGGAGAGGGTTTGGTAGGTAAACCAGTTCTTTTATCTGCGGGTCATAATAGATTGGTATATATTCATATATTGTTAGCAACAGCTGATCTCTAAACTGCCTCCTAAACTAGGGCTATTCTAATAGACAATTCAGAGCTCGTGACAGTACATGAGTCTACATCAGGTGGAACTTCATCGTCAATCATTAAACATGATGGATCTCATGAGCAGCACGGGAATCTCTATTTGTTCCAGACGGCGTGCTGTCACCGGAGGACGCCCTGGCTCCCTTTTCCCTAACATGGATCTCATCCATATGAGATGACTAAATAGCCCGATCAGCCGCATCATGCGTGGCATACCACTCAGGAAGATCAGCAAGAAGAACGTTTTCAATCTGATGGCCCTGTTCAACATTTCCTTTGCGATCTGTTTGAGATCCAAATTCATGTCAAGCAACAAAAGTAGCATCACCACAGAGGAATTTTCTCACCCTGCATACGCAGTGTTATGTGGGACATCTTGTCTGTCTATTGACGTGGTGAGCGACTCGACTGCAATCTTTTGAGTTTATGGTGGAGGTCAGTGCGGTTCCAACTCACCGCTACACAGCAATCTTCGCAAGAGTGATTCGAATGACCTCATGCTGTGGGATTTACCTGGGTTGAATCTATACATCAAACTTAATCAAGTTGCGTTTAGGTGCCGCCACTGCGAGGATCAGCGCCGCCAGTGGACCCGGATATCCCAAGAGCCATAGCAATCTTTACCAGTTTATTTACCCGACCTTTTATTCGTGTTTCTCCGCATGAAGCACTCCAGGGTGCAAAGTTGGGAATTGATGAGTATCACATATAACACCCGGAGGTGGTTGCCTGTGATAGCTGGCGGGAGTTTGTATAGGAAGGCTCCGTCATCGAGGGTTGGAATATGTTTGAACTGGAGCTTTGAGTTGAAGACTACCCGTTCGGTGAGAGGACTCGGTGACCGCTATCCTGGAAGGCTACATCGTAGGAGTCCGTTAATAGGAGATGTTGCAAGTTTCCTTTCACAAATTAAGCAGACCATACCAGGTCAAGGACCCCAGGGATCCCGTCCTTCAGTCTGTGATAGAGTTGAACAATGAATCTTCCGAGTTCGTCCAAGTTGGCAAGCATTTAATTGATGTGTTCCCCGTGCTTAACCATTTGCCAGGGTTTATGGCTCCATGGAAAGCCAAGGCCGAGAAGCACTACATGGCAAAATACAAGCTACGTGATGAGATCTTCCGGCGGGGACTTAGCTCCTGTGCATGGAACATTTCAAAGCACCTCAAGAAGATCGTTGAGTGAAACCAGCTGGATATGCCCCTGGATGAATTGGCCTTTGAGCTCGGAACAATGATTGACGCTGCGCTGGATGGCACGACAGACAAAAATGGGAAGGCCATGTATTGATGCAAGTCTAGAAGGGCCGGAAATATTAGGTAGGTAGCTAGTGACGCATCCACCATCGAAACTCCGAAAAAGTATAGTGAGGCTTAGTGCATGAGTTTGAAACGAGGGCAAAGTGAAAAGAGCGACTTTGTTTGATCCGGGTCACCATAAGCCACCTTTTATCCTGATTGCCAAGTGCTGCGCCTGTTCTGCGCCTCCATACGATGGATTTTAATTGGTCGATATGCTGACACAAGGACTTGTAAATGAGTAGGAGCAACAGTGTTGTAGCAGTCGGATTGCGTCTCTAGATTTCTTGATATGTGATCATCCATGTCTCGAGCATATTACCTTGCCGATAGTGACGTGTAGGTATAGCCCGAGACTGCAATTCAGACCACGATTTTTTGTAGAGATGTAGATATTCCTTGACTGGTTTCAGTCTCACGCATGAAGGCTCCAGCAAGCACAACAGCCAGCGAAAGGCCATCCAGCTTGTTTACGATGGCGCTAATATCTATAAGGTTCGAGTTCTCTAGGCTATAACGGAGCCAGAAGGCAGTCGGCATTCGCAAACACCGTGCAACTTACAGTTTCATACCATTCGCCTTCTGCTTCCTTGTCACGACGGCTGCCTTACAGTTCAGGCCTGCGGGCCATCGCTAAGGGAGCGACGTTCTGGACCAAAGGATCAGCCACAAATGTTGGCGGTATCATGGCGGCTACGTGTAGCCGCCCGGATGTGCCTACAGTACCGATAAGATATGGCAGAGACTCGCGCATCCCTAAATTCAAGTCATCTATACTTAGCAGCGAGGGAAGAATGCTAGTGATTATAGAGACTGCCTGTATAGCCGACACTAACTCGAGGGTCTCTACTATGGGCAACTCGGCATTTGGCCTTGCCAGTAAGCTCAATTCTATATCTGCTGATAGAGAATACATCTTCAACTGCATATAACAGACAGCAGGACCAACCTTAATAGAAGAACTAGATATCAAATGACTACATGTTACTTAAATTGCCTAGATCAAACACATACGACCATAGGGTGTGGAAAACAGGGCTTCCCGTCCGCTCAGCCGTACTTAAGCCACACGCCGGCCGGTTAGTAGTTGGGTGGGTGACCACCAGCGAATCCCGGCTGTTGTATGTTTTTTTTCCCTTTTTTTTGTCTCTTTATGTCTTTGATCTGAGAATGAATTGTTCACTCAGTTGCCCTACCAATATCTCTCTAACGGAAGCCGCAATTCTCTCGCATCAGCCCTGGAGAGTGACTGTGTCCGGGCTTGCCGGGAGTTCGAACGAATGCGCCCCTCGCAACCAATAGCTGGGCCACCGACTGATGTCCGTTCAGGCGCCAAGTTCAATACCGGCCATCGGTCTAGAGGCGGGGGAGGAAAGAGCTATACTGGGTGCCAGGTGCAGGACACGTCGACCTCTATGATCGCGTGGGTCTCATCCCATTCGACAAGCTTGCCCATTTCTTCCGGAAGAGCCTTTAGGAAATGGGAGACGGAACCAGCGCGAACTAAGAGGCCCCTTGACCTACACTATAGCCCTCGGTGTCAATCTTAAGTTTTGCATCGGAGGTTTGTTGGATAATAACGACGTGATCAGTTGCATGTTTCTAGGTATCGAGCCACGCCAATTTTGTACCATTCATATCTACATTTCTTGATATATATCCAGGAAACCTATTTTTAGCATTCCAGTATTTTTAACACCTTAAGTGATATGCCCAATCTCAAACCTCAATGCGATGGAAGGCCTGGGAGTACTGCTGTAGAGAGATACTGGCGAAGAGATATGCACACATTTGCTTAGATTACAGCCAAGTCTGTATATTTTTAAACTATAACGGACATCGCATCCACTCAATAGTGGATACCTGGAGTACCTTCTCTCAGAGGGCCAAGTTATCTACATTAAATCTTTGATTGAAGGCACCAGGTCTGACGACAGAGCTGTTTAGTTCTTGAAAGACTATTATGAAGATGTAAATCCATAACCTTCTTCTGGAACTATGTCGGTTATATACATTGGCCGGGAAAGCCAAGACTGTCACGGTCTTTACTATGTCACTTATCGGGGAAGATAGTAGACTATTAAATATTCCAAGTGAATGTTGACATCCCGTCAAAGAAGAATTTAGTCACAGTGAGTTAATCACTTCACCATCCATCCTGCCAAGCATTAATACCTGGAGGAAGCCAAGGCTGCGATGGTCGCTTAATTTGCAGAGTGCTTAGATTCCCCCAGGACACTAATGCCCATACGGCGTCAAGTCACTGCTACGCTACAACTGGCGTCCGACAATGCATAGGTAAAGAATCAGAGTTCAATGTTTGGATATTCTATTGCTCCCCCATCATTTTTCGGTTAAGAATCCCGAATCCCTTGTACCTAGTTTGTCTGCCTGCATTACTATGTTGTCTGCTACCAAGAAGGAATGATTTTCCTAGTTTCTAGGCCTCGGTACAGGCTTTTTCCCAGTTAGGTATGGTCTTCACTGTATCTTTGAGCCAATATAAAGGCAACACAACTATTTTACATTTTCTCCTAGCATCAAATCCACTAGACGGCTCTCACAGACCTGGTCAGCATTTCATAACCTACTAGCTATACAAAACATTTAGAACCGAGAAGATGCGTACTGCTGCAGCTAGAAGACTGCTGAGGATAAAAGGCCAATATAGACCACGATAGACGAAAATCAGCTCCGCGCAAAAGACTGCCGAGGAAGGAAGACTTGTTTTACAATGTGACCTCCTTTTTCAGAGTACTGATTGATTTAGTCGGTGGATCCGCAGCGAGAATTTTTATACCTTTAACTCGTCCAATGTATTGTACTATTCCAAGAAAGCCCCTGTAATAACAAAGCTCATCGTATCAGCTTCTTATTGATTTGCTATTCACAGTATTTGCATGTATACCATCACGCTCTCTCAACGTGTTACATGAAATCTCCCCATAAAACCAGACTGCATCACTCTTCTTCATACAGATTCAAGGTGCTCCTCCTTTTCGGGCTTCTCCAAGATCGAAACGGGGTCAGGAGAGAGGTGGCCATAAAGATCGCGAACGACTGCATCCTTGCGCCCGAATAAATATCGCCGAATCCACCACGGCAAAACTTCTGTCAACTGATATTTGGCATGAGCACGGGTCGAGATGCTGAAAACACGGTCGAGTTCCTCCAGAGAGCGCTGCTTTGTCTCTGGTAAGAAGAAGAAGATGAGGAGCAAAGCAATAATATTCAATCCTGCGTAGAAACCAAAAGCTCCTTGTGGCTTGAAGTCACGCAGCATGTACGGAAACGTCAGAGACAGCACGGCTGCCCAGAAATTGTTGGTCGCCACAGCCCATGCCATGCCAATCTCGCGGTGAGTCAGAGGGAAGACCTCGGCTGAGTAGGTGAAAGGGACGGGACCTTCCCCGGGGGAGTAGAAGATATTGAACAGGTAAATGAACAGGGCGATCAGACCTAGATGGGCGCTACTACTCGCGGGAATC